TAAATAAGCTTGCTGTTTTCAGAATAACAAAAAGTAAAATATGCTAATATTACATGTGAGACACAAGCTTGTTTGGGGCTAGGCATGTTTCTGTTTTAAACATTCAGCATTATCTTAGCTGAAATTAGTAAAATACAAAGATAAAGCAATAGACTTTTTAGACATTTGAGGATTTGAGGAGGGGACAGATCGAGTTACGGGTCAAGAAGAGATAAAGAGGGTAATCTCGGTTTTCCCGATCAAATTCAAATGCCAGGAGGCAATGCAAAATGTCTGCATAAAAAAGTGAGATCCTCAGCTACTAAGCTTATGCAAAATGTCATTCAATTATAAAGCATCAAGCAGGTTTTCAACATACAGGAACTCACAAAATATAGCTGGTTTAAAATTACAGATAGCCAGTGAAATCCAGGGAACGAAGAAGTGAACAGAGGTAAGATGAACCAGAAAATGTCAAGTATATTAAACTGACAGTAATCACTGAACCCATTTAAGTGACAACTTTATGAGACAATTTGAGAAATTATCAATATAGAAGAGAATTTTTTTACTATAACAGAAGAAAAAGGAAATTATAGTAGGTAAAAGAGGATAATTACTTCTTTTTTATAGAAACAAATCAACTGACACACTGTAAATTTGAAACATGTAAATGCCATAGAAAAACTTTTTCCAACCTCCTAAAATTCCATGACTTTTAAAATACATTGAGTAAGCAATCTGAAGATATACTCTCTTTTTGAAAAGAAGCATTTATCTTAATTTTAAGAATTTCTTCACTTTCACTTCTCTCCTGCTAAGTACAAAGAAAATAATTTGAATATTTTACTTACATGCAACATTTATTACATGGCTTTAATGTAGTACAAAGAATTCTAGCTATTTATTTGATGTACACAGCAATGTCCGAGATGATACTCCCCTGGTATAAATAAGTTATCTCTGTGTGGTAAAATCTATGGGACTTGTATTTTCACTCGGTTGAAATTCATAGAGTTTGAATTATTTTTTAAAGTAGTTATTTTTTTTTCTAAATAAACACTTTAAAACAAAATGTATTTTGGAACTTATTATATTATCTTTCCTATTAATAACCATTGTTGATTAGATTTTCCTTTCATTGTTGACCCATAGCACACAACACAATGCTCACATCATTCACACTGTGTGCAGAATAAGCCAGTGAGGTATTTACTACCAGGTTAGCCTTAACTTTCACTAGGTGAGTTTAGTAAGAAAAGTCTAACATAATGCAAAGGATTTTGTCACAAATGACTATCCAAAAGAAGATCCCACTGTTAGAAACAAAGTCAGGGCTTTGACTGTACTGGGAAACAAATCAGCTGCAAAGACTGATAATCCAGCCAGAGAAGACAGGTAGAAAACCAAGCCAAGCTCCGCTCCCCCAGGGATGAGGAATCATAAGAACAAAAGCACCCAAGAAAATTTCAGCCTTTACTTTGGCATTATTCAGGAACCCCCCATTATTGATTTTTAGAAAATCTTAGAAATGTTTCTGTTGAATGTATGCTCATTATGCAAGTTCAGGAAATTAGCAGTGGAGAAACAGAGAACTCTACCGTTTCAAAATATCTTTTTATTTCCTCCAAACAACTCTGGGCAGTTGCATTAAGGAGGAATGAAGATACCTATTGCTCAAGTTAGATTTGGGTAAGGACAGGAAATTGCATCTTTTAAAATAGGTAAGATTTCTCATTACATAAACATATCATTTGGGTTAACATTTACATTACCTAAAACAAACTCTTGCCCTGGTGCTTTCTATAATTGGTATGTGACAGAGTGCACACTGAAGCAAATGTAAGCTCAGAAAGCATCCTCTGTGTTTATGTTATAAGAAATCTTCAGACTTTCCTAAACAGACAAACTTTACTTTGTTGCTAGGCAACTGACATGCAACACTCCACCGGATGGTAAATAAATTATGAATTTTACAATGAGGAGAAAAGTCTTTTCTGCATGTTTGAGAACAAGCCACAACTTCCTTTCATGCTATCCTAATCTGCCACAGCCTTTAAAGCTGTTTCACAAACACCAATGTTTTGGCAAGATAAACAAGCAAATGAATAACCCAGCAATGACACAGAGGCAGTTTGCAAACTGCACGCTAAGCAGCATCAATACCATTCCATTCGTTCCCACAGGCCTGAGAACCCAAGTCCCCAAGTCTGGTGGAGAGAAGGAAGTTTATTTCACACCCACAATTTTCCAGGTAGCAGAGCATATGCAAGCTTAAACAAAGGAGATTCGGGCAGTTTCTTTTGGCAGTCACTTACCACTGCTACAGGTCTCAGGCACGATGTTGTGTAAGGACACAGAGTAATTTGAACATCTGTTAGGACAAGATGTTATAGGGGGTGAGAACTTGATGTCTCATCAGCCAGATGTGGGATGCGTCCATGTTGAACATGACCTATTCAATGCTCAAAATATTAAATATTTGCTAACATCTAAAGTCACTGCATATATATCAATTTGGTTAGGTTTTCTGGAAAAAAAAATCACAAAATAACATTGAATTTGTATTTCCACAAAAATCAGTTAGGAACTGCTTCCAGCAGAAAAACTGGAAACACTCCAAACATCTGCCAATAGAATTAGAGATAGATAAATGGTGATAAGTACCAATAATGAATTACAAGAGACCAAAACAGTGGTAGCTATTGATATACTCAACACCATGAAAATATCTCACAAACATTGAACAAAGTAAACTAAATACTAAAGTACATCCTCCAATTATGTGACATCCAAGACTTGTCAAAACCTGTCAGTGCTATGGAGATGAGCATAGTTTATTTCAGAAGGAGGAAATACTTTGAGAATGACAGAAATATTCAGTATCTTAAAATGGGAAGTGTTGTGTGGATATATATAAACAAATTATTCACCTATGCACTTAGACTTACAAACTTTACACATCTCAATGTATGCATATTATTCCTCAACAAGAAATACAGTTCAAAAGAAAGAATCAGTTACCAAAGAGCATCTGGTGTTTTTAGGTAGAACATGGTCTCTATCTACAGACCACATACAGCAGCTGGCTCATTCAGCTGGCTAAATCAGGATCTATGTGGATAAAGCCCAAAAATACATTTTAATTGCCCTCTGGTTCTGACGCACTCTAACATTTGATAAACCCTGTTCCAATGCACGATGTACACTGAATAACATACAAAGGAAAGCAGGTAGCAGGAATTGTCCATTCCCTGTTGCCCTAGCCCTCAACATATTTTGAAAAACAGCGAGGAGATAAATATGTCTAATGTGATTGAAACATCACTTAATGTATACATATATTGAAACATCACCTGGCACTCAATTGATATGCATTATGTTTATGTTTTTATATATCACTTTAGAGTACATTTAATCTAAACCAAAGAAAAATAGTAAACTCAGGAACAGAAAAGTGAATTAGTTGGCTTAATTACAGCAGTTTTGTCAAGTTTAAGTAACAACACTCGTGGAAAGGGCAATGTAAGCAGCACACACCATGTTTTAACTACCAGTTACCTTTGGTTTTAGTACTGTTGAAACTAGAAGTCTCTCTTTAAAAAAAAAAAAGTAAAACTAAGAAACGGTTTTGATAGTAAAAAATTATTGGACACGAAGTATTCAGATATATCCCGCTCTGAAGACACAAATGGAAAACTACATCCAAGGAGATTATGTAGCTCAGGAGCTCAGAAAAATTACAGGACATTTACAAGTTAAGACTTTTCTCCCCTTTCTCACTGTAACTTGCATGAAATGCTTTTGATCAATCTCCATCTTCTGGGTAGTCATGAACATTTTAAGAAGATATGGATCAATCATATATGATGTAGCCAGAATAAATATCTTATGCCAAAATCAAGGGAAATTGAGTTGTCCCTTATTATATAACTACTTGGTGATTAATATAAATAAGAAGAGCATAAAGCAATTATATTATATAATATGATAGTGATATTCCATATTTATATTTGGAGATGAAGAAATAGATGAAGATAACTCTTTTTATCAGGTTAAGTGATTTCAATCAAACTTAGATAAAATTTTAGAATGAAAATTTATGCTTCTATCTATGTTATTACTTAGGAATTTCCTAGAGATGGTGGTGGAGATGGACAGAAGAGATCTAAAATAATGAAATATAATAATAATAATAATACTTTAAGGTAGTGATTCAGTGATTTTATTCAATACCTCACAGTGGTTGAACAACAAGGGAGATGGTGAAAAATCAACTTTAAAATCATCTTGGCTATCAAGTTTACATTTCATTTGTGAAATGGTTGATGCGGAGATAAATCTCACAGTCATGTAACCGCAGGTTCATGAGCATGCTGTTGATACAAGTCACCTGCCGTTGATACAAGTCCATATTCAAAAGAGGCCCTCCTACTTGGGGCTTGGTGACTTAATGTATCTAATAATTTTATTTTTGAGTTTGTGTTTTATTCATGATGTTCAGAGAGACAACAGAACTTCTGTTAGGAACTTGGAGTTTTGCACCACACACTGTCCTTTCACCTTCCACTCCTACCCCATGACGCTAATGTCGTACTGGCTCAGCCACCTACTGTATAATGGCAGGAAAGATCCAGGCAACATGCAAGGTAGCCTCCCAGGTTCTGGGAGGGGCCATACTTGGCCTTTTGAAAGGTCTTCACTCCCCCTTGCCCAAGGAAATATGACATCAAATAGAAAAAAAGATGCCACCACTGATTAAGAAAAATAGAAAAGGATTTTCTGTACTTCTTTCTATATAAGGGGTTGACATTTTTATGCACTGCCATTTGCCATGGCCCTCCAAAATCATGTCGTTGGCCTTGGATGTGGCAATAAATCAGAAAGAAGCAAAGAAATGAAGAACAGGATCTACTAGGAATAGGGGAAATTAATGAGGCACGCCTAGGGAGAACAATCATTACAGTTTAGACCTTAAAGTGGCTGAATTTAATATTGTTATAAATGGACCAGATACAGTATATTCTTTCCAGAAAATGCTTTATTTCTCCCTGATTGAGGTAATGTACATTGTAATACATTTACAAATATTCAGATACTTAATATGCCACTGGAAATCCCCATTCAAAGAAACGGCGCAGCTGAGGGTGTCAAAAAGTAAAAGTATTTAGAAAATACAAATTACCACCCACTATTCCAATCCAATCCAGTGCTAATTCTCCATGATGTAAATCCAAATCTCATGTTGTTCCAGGCATTTTCAGCATTCTCAACCTGAGCTTACAATATAAGAACCACCATTTCAAGAATATTCAAGCACAAAGAGGGCTAGTAAACAGTGAGATCACTATCATTTTACTCCCGTGCCCTACCTCCAATTCTACCAAAAGATATCTTCTGTTTTCCAGCACTTTAGCCTGCCAGGGGATGAGGTTGTCTAAACACATTTTCAATGTTTTCTTTTTAACAGTTAATATATTTCCAGGATGCAAGTCCATTTCTTTCTAAAAGGTTCCTAGGACACCCATTGAAAAGTCAAAAGCAATGAAGTAAAAGGGATTGCTATTTTGTTGGAGAAGAACGACACCCTTTGTATCGAAGTGAGGAATTACAGACTGTGGTCACCCTCTGCACAGTGTCTCTTTGTCAAGTAATACATGCTGAAAAAAAAAGAATACAGATGGGGAAATATTGTGCACTGTCAGATCTTGGAAACAGCCAAAGGATTTTTCCTCACCAATGTCTTGTCGATGACTTTCACATTCTGGCACCCTGAAAAAATAATGCATACATTTAATATGAGATGAATGCAATAACAATCAGGCAGGTAATCGTTTTCCCAAGGAATGTAAGACTTGACAAATGTAAGGTTTATGATTCAAGGTAGGCTTGCCAAATCTTATGTGGCATGAGACCATTTTTATTACCTAAACAGCCCTTAACACAAAATGACTGGCACATATTTTTATTAACACAAAGAGTGTATTCTTTCTGCCACATTTAATAGAGAGCCAGTGGCTGAAAGCTCTCTTTTAGGATATGTCTGTAGCAAATTAAAATGCGTAGTGAGGATTCACAGAATGGCATTCTTCTCATGAAGGCTGTCTGACAGGCTCAGCGCAGTGGTGAGTAGAGACAGTTTATCTCTAGAGCCCTATCTATTCAGACGTCTGAATCATATGGCTCACAAAAAAGGATCCCTCTTTACCTTCAAAAATGGGGCAGCTGATAATTTACTCAAGGCCTTTTTCTGCAGCTAGAAGTCCATTCTGAGTCAAACTCAAAACAGTCACTAAGTAATAATGGCACTTATTTATTTATTCATTCTTCCAACAAATATTTATTGTTTAAGTGCCAGGCACTGCTTTGCGCATTGGAAATAGTATAGTGATTAAAACACACAAAGGTCCTTGCTTTTTGCTTCTTACAGCTTAAGAGAGAAACAAATAGTACATAATGCATATCATCTAAAAATCAACTTCAGTACAGATTATATATGGAGGGTGATGTGTGCTAAAGAAAAGAAGGAAATAAAAACAGAAAAAGAAACCCTGAGGTTGAATGGACAGTTGGAAGATGGATTGCTACTTTAAACAGAGCAGTCAAGGTGGACCTGTTTGAAAAAGTACAATTTATGGGAAAGCGTGAGGATGTGGGGAAGTTATTCACATAGAGGTAGAAGGGAAAAACATCCAGGAAGAGGGTAAAGCCTGAAAGGCTGAAAGGCAGCTGTCATAGACAAGAAGCAGTGAGGAGGCAAATGTGGCTCAGTCAGAAGAATCAAGAGCAACAGTAGTGAGAGCTCTTCACCAAAAGGTAGTAAGAGTCACAACACCATAAGGACTTTGATATTTATTCTGAATAAACCAAGAGCCACTGAAGGGCTCTGATCAGAAGAGTAGCATGGAGTTTAAAATGGTCATTCTGGCTGCCATGATCAAAACAGACTGTGAGAAGGAAAGTGGGGAAGAGACAGGGACACAGAGAAACACATCTGCATGTGTGGCAGCAGTGGGAAGGGTACGTGACATCAGATTCTGATTGTGTTCTTAGCATGGTTCCCCACCAGATGTGATGGTATGAGAGAAAAAATGAAGAGTCACTGACTTCAGATTTTTGACCTGAAAAATTGAAAATACAGTCCTATAATTTATCAGGTGTGATCACAAAATACAGTGAATAATTAAACAAACATTTTTATTGTAATAAAAGATACATTGCCCTTAACCCCTCTCGGAATACTACCCCTTGGTTTGAACACACTGATCCCACTGTTCTTGCCACTTGTTTAAGCAGTTCCAGAAGTCCGATTTTGTGACTATCTTTAGTTGCACTCTCATGGCTGCCATGATGTTGTGAATCAATTGGGAGTGTTTACATTTCATGGTCATTTTCATATTGAGGAAAAACCAGAAGTTGCACAATGCCAGATCTGGTGAAAAAGATAGACAAGGACACATAGGTGTGCCTTTATGTGGCAAGAATTGTGGTAAGCATTTTGAATCAGTTCAGCACATTGAGGCCTCCAGGAAAAGATTTCCAGAAAGAGCACTTCCAGAACTGCTTCAGAAAGTGATGAGAATGATGGCGTAAGGGTATTCAAAGGGGTTGGGGAAAATGTTAAGGGGTATTCACGGCCATGTTTTTTTACTATAATAACCTTTTTTAACTTAAACATTCACAGTATGTTTTGGTAACACTTCACAGATCTTTAATGTCCCAGAAATGTCTGAATATTGAAGATTTGGTCACCAGTCTGTGGTCCTCTTGGAAGGTGGTGAAAGTTTTAGGAAATGGTGCTAAGTTGGGAGTATTTGGGTCACCAAGAGTATGCCCTTTAAGGGATGATTGAAGCCCTACCCCTTCCTCTTTCTCCTTGTTTTGCATCCACCATGAGATGCACAGTTTTCCTTTGCCATGTGCGTCCACTGTGATGTTTGGTATTATCACAGGACCAAATGACCATGGACTGAAGCCTCTGAAATCATGAACCAAAATAAATCTTTCCTCCTTACCAATTAAAACTATCTCAGACTTTTTGTCACAGGAGTGCAAAGCTGCATAAAACATAGGCTATTGACATGAACTGAAGCTGGAAAGACACCAGGCAGAACAGCTTTAATGCAGGAGCGTGGAAGTTGAATTATGGACAGGAAGAGTTTGAGCTGCCACTTAGCTGAGTAGAACTGAACCATGGCCTGTTAGATGTGTGTTCTGAGATGATAGACAGCATGATGTACCATCCATGCTTCAGGTACTCTTACTCACCAAAGTTTCCCCACTGAGACTCAAAGCGGATGCTACACGAATACAAGATACTATGCGTACGTTAGAACCTCTGAGCTTGGAAGGTGCTCTTATCCAGAACTACCAATATGAACTCAACTTCAAATTTCATGTACTGAAATGATGCCATCTTCTTCCTCCCTATATCCACTTCTCTCCACCAAAAAGTCTGGTTTAAAACCATGGCGAAAAGCAAGTTCTCTGTGAGAATGACAGCTTACCACTCAGTGCCATGGCCAAGCGGAATTCTTCCTTTAGTATCTCCAGGACATCTTGGACACCTTTCTCCCCCTAAGCAGGGAAAAGATCACAACTATTGTGTAAATCAGTCTGATTGTTTCTGTGCATTTATTTTGCTATTGAAACATCATGTGTTATGTGCTTCTTTGTTCAATTACCTGGAAAGCCAAGCCCCAGATGATGGGTCTCCCCACAAAAACAGCTTTGGCACCCAGAGCCAGAGCTTTCAGAACATCCGTGCCTTTCCTTACACCCCCATCCAGGAAGACCTCCACCTTCCCTTCCACAGCCTCCACAATTTCTGGCAAAGCATCAATCTGTGGAGAGAGCAGGTCAAAAATGTGACACTAGCAATAATGAGCTGCCATTCTCCACCACCTTCATCAACCACCAACCCTCTCAATGGAGGCTTAGAAAGAAAGAAGCTAAGTAGGTTTGGGGTTAACAGTAAGTGATTCCCCTCTGAAAGGTAAGAAGTACCAATGCTGGCGCTGAAAAACCAAGCAAGTTTGGAATTGAGCGGCTTATTTTTCTTTCAAAATCCAACATAGGTTTGTTTTTCTATGCCTGATGCTTTTTATAAGCACAATTTTAAAACACTTGATCTTTTTTATAGCTTTCCTTTATAAAAATAAATGAAGTATTTTGTTGATATAATTTGTTCTCAATAAATAATTACTTATTATTGCAAATCAATAGTTAAAATTCATGCTCAGATAATATAAGCAGCAGTGCACAAAAAATTTGAACATGGCACTGATAGGTAATGTAGTCTCTGATTTCTTTGTCTAACATGCTTTGTATCCAAACATACATTAGAAAAGATTGTAAAAACAGGTTTTGCTGGAGTTTCCTTGTTTTGGGGGGTTTTGGAGGGTGTTTTTTGGTTTTGGGGTTTTGGGGTTTGCAGACTTTTGGGTGGGGAAGGCTTTTAAATAAATGAGATCATATGCACCTTATAGGTCCTTGTCTTGATTAGCAATTGATTATGCACTTAGGTTAGAAATAGAGAATGCAGAATTCTCATAGAGGTTCATGGGAGAGATTGCTTTATTCTTCCTGATCCTTTACATTTCTTTTTCCGAGTCAATATCACTGTTTCTTCCATTAAATAAAACAGAATGCATTTGCCCACTCTTTGATTTTGGCTTTGACCATGCAACTTACTTTGGCCAACGTGACAGCTAAAGTGAATTGTCAACTTGAGTAGATGTGTGTGAATGAGCTATGGAGGTACAACCATGAGGTCCCTATCTGGTCCCTCACCCCTTTGTCTCTGGCATTGTTCCCCTGTTCTACTTTTAGACCACCATGAATGAGCATCTTTGTTCCACCATGTCCTTCTGCCATGATATTTTCACCTTGGAGCCATCCAACCATGTACTGAATTCTCAGGAACCATGAGCCAAATAAAGCTCTTGTCCTTTACCTTGAGGGTGTCAGGTACTGTGGTCAGCAATGGGAAAAGCTGTCTAATGCAGCCAATAACATGTGATCACAGGGGGCAAAGGGTCATTTCTGGGCATAGTCCTTAAGTAACCGCACCTATTTCTACTTACTCTTGCATGTCTGCCATTTGCCATGAGAAAAGCATCCCCAGGGGGTATTCTACTCTCAGTTTGGGCCCCTAAATGCTATTCAGGAAGCAGAGTTTTCCCAGCCAAACCAAACCGGACCTGCAACTTAGAGCCCAAAACCTAACTAGTACCAGGCCTGGATCAGCAGACTACTGTTAATTCAAATTTTCAAGGCAATCAATGTCAATTTAAATCACTGAATTTAGAGCCTTTTATTTTACAGTATTATATGGCAGTATCTAACTGACACAACTGCCTAATTTGATGTAGATCTTTGCACTGAAGAATTTTAAAAATATTGTAGGTGAAAATCTATAGAAATAATCCACATTCATCCCAAAATGTTGAAATCTCAAACAAAGTCACTATTCCATTAAAATGTATGCTGTAGAAGCTGCTAGGTACTCAAGTGCACTTTTTCCAGAAATAATTGTGCTGAAATCACTCAAATGCTTTCCTACTTCTCCCCTAAAATTTTAGAGGCTAAACTTAAATAGAGTTTTATGTAAAAGGCTAAAAACCAAACACAGCTACAGATTTGGAGGAAGTGGAGGCAACACTTGGCATGTGGCCCCTAAATGTTTGGCAGGTAATATGATTTTCCCCTTTCCTTTTGGCTTTTCTGCCTCGCCGAACATGCTTTGGATCCATTTACATATGTCCCCTTACCTATACACAGTCCTCCTTTTACATTCAGGCAACTTACATCAACATATAAATGCTACAATTTCCAAGCGATGATGCAAGCCATAATTAAGCATATTTCCCCATTTGAAACCAGAACCAAAGAAAAATATTAGCTAGGTTGGGTTCGATACACATTTTCAAAGTCACACAAATCAAGTCTATTCAGATTATTTCCAATAGCTAACCTGGCCTAAAAGTAAACTAATAAGGATAATTAAAACGTGAATCCTAGGTTACAAAACAGAGCCTACATTTGTATATTCTGTGTCTCTGGACAGGGATATTCTATCCACTGCTGAACATTTTCATCTTCCCATTTCTCTTTCAGTAGATGCAGTTGTAGGAGACACACATTACAAAAAGTAATTCTGATCAAGGAAGATGGAAATAATAAATGGAGCAAACAAACACACTACACCATGGCCCTGCCCCTGTTCCCTCCTTTTCGGATTCTATACATCCCTGGAACATTCAATGTCATGCTTCAGATTTTTGAAATTTTAGATATGGAAGCTTTGCTTAGACCCAAACAGTTGCACATATACAAAAATCAGATACAAACCAGAGAAGCTTAAGTTGAAAGCAAAAGAGACAGATTCCAAGTCATGGCCCATAAATCCTCCTTGACCATTTACTGACTCAACCCATCATGCTTGGCCAGGAAGACCTGTGGTTTCTAAGAGGTGCACTTAGAAAATCACTATCCACAGAGGTCAACTCATTCCTCCCAAAAGAAAAAATGGCAGCAATGATTTCCTTCCCCACAATTCTTTGCCAGCTCATGGTACCACAGGAGAAAAAAATGGATCAGAGGCACTGATAGAGTCTTGGGTTCATGTCCCTGTCTTGTAACTGGCTTTGTAACTGGCTTTGTAACTGGGTTTCAACAATAGAACACAAGAGAAGCTAACAGTTGACGAGAGAAGCTAACAGTTGATTCTCAGCCTTGATCTCAAGAGGCCTGGTATGACTCTAGGAAACATCCCACCTCATGATAGCAAGCCCACCTGATATTCTAGAAGATGTGACACAATGGAGAGCCACACTCCTGGTCCTACACCAGGCTGTCCTAAGAGACCTAGCACTGACCATAAGTACCTGGGAAGCTTAGCAAGAACCAGAGCCCAAACCCTAGCCAACCTCAGCCCAAATTGTCAACTCAAAATTGTGTAGTGAATAAGTCACTATTGCTTTTTAGCCAGATTTTTTATTATGCAACACAAGCCAACTGATATATCCAGTGTAATCAAAGGTGGAATTACATAGGCTTTCTCTAATTTTATTTTTAATTATTTCATTTCTCTTTTTCCTCCCCTCTCTTATGATATAGAGATGAAACCCAGGGCCTCCCACTAAGCTATACTTCCAGCCCCATGAATCCCTTTATAAAAGAAAAAAAAAATCTACTTGATCTCTCGAACACCAATTTAACAACCATGGCACTTATGCAATAGAAATCCTATGCAGTTAAAAATTTTAAGGAAAAAGAACATTATATTTGTAAGTATGAGGTAGTTTGGGTTCAGTTAGGATCAAAATGAAAGGCAAAGTTGAAAAAGAAAAGTGCTCTTAGGATTCAAATATTCAGAGAATCTGTCTTTAGATCCCAGTTTGAGAAGCTCCAGGGCTACAGGTTTTAGAAATCAGTTTGACTGCATCATATTATTCACCCATGGATTCCAGGCCACACTGGGTCACACTGTTACTAAGGACTTCATGGAAAACTTACTGTTTTAACTCTTTTGAGTGTAACAGAAGCCTGGCAAGAGTTCAGAGATGTGATGCCTTCAGATGAACTGAAGATAAATTCCTCGTCTAGGACTCCCAGAGTTAAGAGTTTGTCCCTACAACAGAATCCTGTGATTTATAGAAATGTAGAAACCATATGGTCCCGCCACTTTCTTTGTGAAGCCAACACAACACCATGGAGAGATTCAGACATAAAAGTCTGAGTGACCTGTTCCCCCATCTGTCACTTATTAGGAATGGCAAGACAGGGCCATGAGCCCAAGACTCCCAGTCAGTGCCTCTGCCATAACATCACACCATCCCTGTGGTTCCTACTTATGATATCACCCAGCTTGCAGGACAGTGAGGCCTTCTGTGCAGCTACTGAAAATGTTACACCACAGCTTCCTTCAAGCCTTTGCCTGTTCACCTGAAACCTCACACGCCGAAGGAAAACAACATTCCCCATGAGCCAGGTTCTTTTCCACATTCCATCGTGGCCCTTAACATTTCTCTGCAGCATCAGGCAGAACTCAGGCAAGTGTCTCCTCTCACGCACAGAGTGTATGATGGGGACAGGTATCATTTTTTCAAAACAGCCTCAGAGACCACAACTCAAAAAGCCCTTTTAGATAAGTTTCCATATCCCCTTAGCCAGAGGGAAATAAACCACACCATTTAGATATTTTCCCCTTAAAATCGAGTTAGATTTGATTTCAGTAGATTTCTATTTTATTTTTAGAAAACAAACTTAATTTGGCCCTCACACTAAGTCTGTGTCTTCATACACAAGTGAGGCATAAACCTGAGAAAAAGCCTGGAGCTGTGACCAGCTTCTCCACCCTACTCAGAGCAAGGCTTCGCTTTCCACCTCCACTCACCTGCAGCAACAATTCCTCTTCCCTAAAAAAGGTGTGTTCCAGTTGAGGGGCTGAGTTGGAAAGATCTGATGAATCCCAGTTTTATGATTTTTGGATCTTTCATTTGGTTGGTTGCAACCCTTGGTGCTTTAGAAGAAATTATGAATGCTATTTGTGCATCCCTTATCTCCCTGTAACACTGCCTGTTCCACAAAATTCACACAACTGGTCTACAGATGCAGTCAAATCAACCGATTATTTCAGTGAAACAATAACCCACTTCTACTTGGCTAAATTGTTTGATCTGTGCTATTTCTAGTTGGAATAAATTCAATAGGTCATTCCACTTACAGTCATCTATATAAATAACCATGATTGGTTCTGATAAAACTGGATATATA